GGGGGGGGGGGGGGGGGGGGGGTACACAGTGGGGGCACAGGGTGAATAAGTCTCAGGAAAGGCATAGATTTATGCATTACTCGTGCTCAATGGTGCAACACTTTATTAAGCCGAGCACTTCATCTATGAGCATTATGCCATCCATAGAGACTGTCAGCGGTGGAGGGGGGTTCTGGATGTTTTCTATGCTGAGAACTGTGATTGTATGTAGGTAGTTTACGCTGAAGTCTGATCTTTAAGTTGTTAAATTAAACTACACGCTAGACTGACCACATCACAATGAATTAGTTTAGTGCAAACAGGTTGAAGGCTGCAGCGCATCACGAACGCCCCACCTCAGAGAGACGATGTTAGCTAGCCTTAAGAAGACAGAATCTATTGGTTTTTTCCCTCCAGAAGTGAGAGGTCCTAATTAGTACTCTGTTCCACTGTCTTTACTAAACACAAGGCAGGAACAAGGCACAACCTTTATCACTTACTTAGTTTTTCTTTAAGTGGTTGTCAACACTTGTATGAGCAGTATGTTTGTTAGCAAACATTGTGTAGTCATTTCTACACATCTCACCACATTTGTAAAGAACTAAGCTCCATATCCCACATTAATATTATTTTTTTCTTGATTTTTTTAAGCAAATCCATTACAATCAGCATGTAAGTCTTGGGCTACCCATTACCTTACACTGCATAAAGAAGAAATTCAACAGTACCAATAGATATTGTAGGATTTTTGTGGGCTGGTTACAAACATGTACAGAAGCAACAAATACCAGGTGCTTTATCTATACTTAGTTTCAATTATTGCCATTTATAAAGAGCATCGAGTCACTGACCTGCAGAGTTCACTCCTCCTGGGTGAGAACACATGGCGACAATCACTTAATTGAACTGAAATGCACCAAATTCTGCACCACATCTATTTATGAAGGTTATCAAAGTCAAGCTAGTATAACTGACCATGTTTTTTTTTTCTTCTTTAAATTAAAACATTTTACTAACCATATAAATATGACACATTTTGACCTTGTTCTGTGTTGAGAAGTAAAACCAAAGCACTGTGTCCCTCTTTTTTTGTGTGTATCGTGTGTACATTGAAGATTTACCTTGCTATGTGGACAACATACAAATAGCATGACAGTAAAACCAATGATAGTCATCGATGGTGAGCAGTTTTTCTACCCTCCAAAAAGGGAGCTGGGGGATGGGAGTTTGCATGGTTGTCAAGTTATAACATGTCTATAGACAGTAAAAAGTATTAGTCTAAGCATAGAACCCTGTGGTACGCCATAAGTAGCTACTTGTGGCGTACCACAGGGTTCTGCAGTGTGAAGAATCATCATTCACATGAACAAACTGGAAGCTGCTGGACAGATAGGATTTAAACCATCCCAGTGCTGTTCCTTTGGTCTCTACAGCATTGTCAAGCCTCACTAAGAGAATATTGTAATTGTGTCAAAAGCAGAACCGAGATCTAACAAAACCAGAACAGAAACAAGTCCAAGAGAGGCCAAGAGAATAGCATTAGTGACTTTCACAAATGCTATTCAAGTGCTGTCATGAGCTCTGAAACCCTTCAATCAGGTTGTTACTGTTTAGATGCTCACAAACTATGTTCAAGGATTTTAGATAAAGGGATATTAGATATAGGTCTGTAATTCATTCACTCATCTTGATCAAGAGAATGTTTCTTAAGTAAAGGTTTAATTAGAGCTATGTTAAAAGCCTGTGGTACGTATCTGTTTGCTAAGGACACATGAATAATTTCTAAGATGGGGGCAGTAATCAAAGGGAACACATAATTAGGCTGGGACGGGGTTCAAAATGCTAATCAAAGGCTTAGAAGGAGCTAATTTATTTTGATAACTTAGAAAGCTGAATTGACACAAAACAATCCAAACACAAGTTGATAAATGTGATTTTCTTTTGTATGGTATATTTCTGTTGTGCAATAGGTCTCGAATTTCATTAACAGTGGTCTGAAAAAAGGCTTTTAAAAGTCTTAAGTGTGAGTTGGTGAAACCTGCAGAATGCCTGGTGTGTTTGTACGTTTGCGTGTGTGTGTGTGTGTGTGTGTGTGTGTGTGTGTGTGTGTGTGTGTAAATGACCATGTTTTTTTTCCCCGTTTTCTATGTCGCAAAACAGTCATTATGTGTTTGATGGTGATTTTGTATCAAACTGGCAAGCCTGCAGTTGTAGGATTATAGTGCCACAATAACATGACTCATTCTGCAATATATGCCTTCGGGCTCCTCTTCTTCTCGGTTTTATTGCTGGTTGCAGCAGGAGAAATAAAATTGTAAATATACAATGTTTTGTTTACAACTGGCACAAAAAGTAGATCTGGGACTTGGCTATAATTGAGACAATGTTGGATTCCAACAGTACATCTGCCCAGCATTGAAAGCAGCCTGTTCAAGGTTCCCTCTGTGCAGAAAATCCCCCAGCACCGGAGATTTTGTGTGATATCGCAGCCTTGAAGCTCGCTGTTCTTTCTTCCGGGGGCATCCTTTTGTTTGAGCATTTTTGCAAGATAAGCAAGAAGTAAGTTGGAGAACAGCTGTTTTGTTCACTGCACTTGTGCTTTTGAACGGGACTAAATGGGACTGAGTGCAACCGCTCGCTCCGGTTTCTCCGCTGACAGGCCTTTATCCATTAATCCCTCAGTTGGACAAAAGTGCTTGAGGTTAAACAGATGTTGCTGCTCTTTTCTCAGAGGAGTCAAGTGTGTACACAGGAAGGGAGAAGGAACTGGAGCGAGGGCCCCCACAGCACCTGCAGCGCCACGACTTCAATAGATAACACTAAGCGTTTTGAACGTTTCCAACCCCGAAGTGCCGTCTCACCATCTTTCCTGCCACTGTCATTTTAACTCGACTTTTGATACGGACCGTTTGCTGTGATTCCCTGTTAATTTCCCCCGGGGCTGATCATTCAATATTCAATACCTTTTGTTATTCAGCAACAACTGTGGATCAAGAGATTGAAGCGTCGTTCCTTGATCAATAATACCAGAGCACAGAAAAATGGTGGGTTGAAAAACTCATCCAAAGATGCAGAGCAATATCTTTTTATTGTGTGTGTGTGTGTGTGTGTGTGTGTGTGTGTGTGTGTGTGCGTGTGCATGTGCGTGTGTGTGTGTGTGTTTCCGTTGGTTACAAATTTAGCTCAACCTCATACAAAACACTAAAGTGTAAAGCAACTGCGTTGGAATCTTTTACTGGAAAAGTAGTGAAGTGATCAATTATTTCAGAGTAGGGAACTGGTTTATTTAACACGAATTGATCCAGTAAGTACATTATCTTTCCTTAAAAAACATATCAGAATCATTATGGTAAAAACAAAAAACCTACTACATTTGGGTTGGAAAAAGTTTATCGTATTTTTGACGTGTGGAAAGATCAAGTCTCCAATATAAAGCAGAGAAAGTTTTAAAAGACGGGGTGAGGGAGGGGTATTATTGCAAAATTGACTTTTTTGAGATCTAAATCATGTTATGTCATTCCCTGGAACGACATATTACCTGGAGTCTCGCTTTGATTCATTCATGCATGTTTAAGAAATTCTTGAATTTCCCATGGCAACCATTTGGTGGTTCTTAACAGCAGGCTCACGCAGCCTGCTGTCCTTCTCATGGGTCTCCCTCACTCAGCTCCTCCAGAATAGCGGCAGCAGCAACTAGCAAGCACCTGGTGGAACTGCAGATCCGCTGAGCTCATCATATGAACCACTTCTTAGTGCAAGGCGCCTAAGAGTGGCTGTCAGCGGCATAATGGAGAAGCATTGTTGTGATGACATGCTGAAAGAAGAGTGCTGGAGAGGGTAGGAAGTTCTTAAAGAGACGGAGGTCAATTTCAAGATGTGAGTTACAGCTACGGTGCAAAGTAATTTTTCCTTCTAATAGTTTTTAATATATTCAGCATAATTGAAGGAAACTTAATTTGATTTTGCTAAACAAAAAAAAAAAGGTGACAAAAATAATCAACGCAAATCTTGACAGAAAAAGGTTTACGACAATACGTCGAATAAAACGCCGTGATCAAAGCTTCCTAAGGGCGCTTCAGCCTTATCAAGAGTTGTTAAATGCGGCAGATGTTGTAGCAGTCAAAGAAAGGATTTGCATAGGCATCACATTTCTAGAGCAAATACGCTGAGTTTACATGATTTATGTCTGATTAATGTCTTAAAGAGTTGTGTTGAAAGACCCAAAAAAAAAAAAAAAAAAAGAGAAAAACTGCAGCTCTGTAAAACAGAGTGTGATTAGCGGCAAGGACTAATGCTTGTTAGTGCCTTTCCAGTATACATTAATTGGTAAAGGTTGTCAGTGTGAAGCATGAGGGGGAAGATCAATTGGTGTTTAATCCTGTTTGGGTTTAACTGCGCAGGGACTCTTTTGAGCAATTAACTCCAGGAAGGATGGCTGAGACACTGTGAAATCACTTTACACACCATGACAGTAGAACTATTCAGAAATGCATCAATACGAGCAAAAATGGAGGGGGATACAATCGATTTGACAGACGCGAACATTGAAATCGTTTCTTTCGGAAAACAAGAGCAACGACTCAAAAGTCTTTCAGAGACAAAACGGCTGCGTTCTGTTTCTTTCCCTGAGTCTTTTCTTGAAATTGAGTCGCACAAGCCGGGTAACTTTTTTTTTTTTTTTCCAATAATCCATGTGTCCTTGGTGTTCAAAAATGGATTGCTTTCATATGACCATCACATTAAAGTGTTTGTCAGTCAAACAAATGTGTTTTCCTCCAAAGGAATGGCAGCCTCAGCTGTTTCTGCAAAGGCTGCGTAAAAAGAAGAAGCTCTTCTCATATGTTAGACAAAGCTCTGGAGGAAACTATGGGTCATTCCCATCTGCAGAGAGGAAATAATCAAGGTTGGTGTCACGGAAATGCTTGGAAGAGGTAGACCTTTCTTTAAAACACATAAGAGGCTTTTCAAGTCCCAAAACAATAAACTACTTCAGTAGTTTCTGTTCAAACACCTTACTCGATTACTGAAATGGAGTAAGGTTTTAGTAACACAAAAGATGTTACTAACATCTTTTTGCCATTGACAGAGTGTTAATGGCATATTAACATCTTTTATGTTAATGCCATATTAATTTTAGACTTTACATTAAATATTTGAACAGTTCTTTTTTTTTTTTTTGGTGCGGTAGCTGAAACAATTTTTAAAAACATGAACTCTTCACAGACTGAAATGTTTTTGTTTTTTGTAGCTGGGACTCCAACTGACAATTATTTTAAGTTAAATTACATTTTTCCAACTCAGTCCTAGTTAAACTACATGTAGGGCTGCAACTAACAGTTATTTTAGTAATTGATTATCCTATTGATTAATCAGATTTTTCAAAAAATCAGCACAATCTGCAGTTTTTGTTTACCCAGGGAAGTCTTTTTATACAATATTATAAGTACATTAGAAGATGCAAATTAACAATTAAATTCCTTTTTTAAATAATAAATATTGTATTGCCTGAACTGCAACGATATATATATATATATATATATATATATATATATATATATATATATATATATATATATATATATATATATATATATATATAACAATTTTTTGTCTTACAGGATAAATTTTATGCTCCCTTTTTCACAAGCTGACAGTCTTGTGAGGTTTTATGAAATATCTGGCAGGCCCCAATAAAAACAAGACTTACAGACAGCAAAACAGCTCCTTCACAATGCATAAATTTCCACCTCTTTTCATAGCAGCCGCATTTGGGGTGTGGTAAGGCTAGCTTGATTCAAACTCTAACATCTTTTCTACAGGGAAAGCCTGTTTTAAGATCAGAAGAACTCAACTGAAGACATTTTACTCATGTTAGTGCATCAGAAGACTTTACTAAAAGATTTACACTAGAACACACAAACTTAATTGCATTTTTTTAACTATAATCGGCCTGTATGAGCTGATGAAAATCCATTTCTGAGGTATGGATTGTGTTTCAAATGAAGAGTTTTGTACTTAAAAAAAGAAAAACCTAACACAAGATCTACAATACCTTAGCAACACCACCCACTGAACTTTTTCATGCGCCTTGTCACATTACGACATTGTATTATATTGAGTTTTTATATGATAGATCAAAGCATGTGAGAGCTTCACAGGATGACGTTTGTTTTATAACCTGACCCTGCTATAAACTTCTTCACAACTATTTCCTTACACTGTGTGGAGGATAAATCATCAGCATGCTGCTGATGATTTATTGACGTTCTCCAACAAAACTCTGAGGCCTTCACAGAACATCATCCTGAGATTACATGTAAGTCGGATTTATTTAGGGTGACCAAACGTCCTGTTTTCTCCAGATATGCCCACTTTTCATATTCTGTTGGACAAGCCGAACAAATAAACTTCCTTCCTACCGTCCCGGTCACAACAAATGGGTGGTGGATGGAATCGTGCACATAGCTGGCGTGTGTGTTTCTGTGTCTAACAAAGATGTCAAAGGTCACATGTAGACCAAAAGTATAAAAAAAGCTGGTCATCTATTGGTTGACTGAGAATGAAGAAGATGAAAACTAAATACTGGAGTAGTCTGCAAACATTTATTTAAATGTCTTTGAGAGATTGCTGCTTTTTATTATAATGTTTATATTGAATATAATTTCAGATTTTTGTGTAATTTTGTCCAGGTTCACATAAGAAATGAACTATTATTGTTTCAGGTCAATTTACTAGGCAGAAGAGAAATTATTAGGTATGCACCGACATGGAAATTTGGAGTGATATATCAGGTACCAACCTGATATATTTACCAATATCAGATTATATAAATTTCTCCAGACTTTTGACATTGTCAGCAATACTGATACCGACATCAATGCAGACATACTGTGCATCCCTGGTGATTATTTCTAGTATTTATGTACTTGTTATCTTGTGAATGCCTATCTGAAGTTTGTTATTTAACTATTTTAACCATATAAAAATAGTTAAATTGAAAAAGCCCATTTCAAAAGTCTTCTTTAAGCAAACAAAGTTGGACTGAAGCGTTTCAGGGCTGGTCCGAGTGATTTCATTTTT